ATTTTTATCATTTATTTCCATCCTCCTCTAAGCCATGTGAGCTCCATGAATTTGGAGACCTTGTTATTATTCACTGATGCATCCCAAGAGTCTAGAACTCTTCCTCTGTAATCTATTGGGCAAATGATGAGAAGAATTTTTTTCTTGGACTGGAATATCTTCAAAGCTTTCATTGTTACTAGCAATCCCTTGTAACTTGGAGGTTAAGCAGGACATCCAATGTTGAGCACATATTCCAAAAGGGAGGTGCTAGAGCTTGTCATTACCTGAAACTCCCTGAGTTGTCATCTGAGATGACTTGTATTTAGTTTTAGCAATAATTGATTTTGCTCAGTTTTGGGACAGTTCACTATACAGGTCTGAATTTCCCCATAAGGTTAAACCCGAATTTTTGAGACTCATATCTCTGTTGGATCAATGAGATTATATTTTAAGTATGAAACAGAATAATGATTGAACTTTTTGTTCTTTTTCTCATGTGATAGGTATATGATACAAAAATTATATCTATAAGACAATTGTGCTTTGTTTTATAAGATATTATTTTGAAGTAATCATAGAGAAGAAAGGTGGATGACATCAAAGTGAAAAAAATGTGAACAAGATTGTCTCCAGTTGAGAGATTCTTCCATGCTGACTTCAAAGAAGTGTGTACAAGGTCGTTCTTCTGGAGGACCTCTCTACTCATGACCAGTGTCCTTTCAGTTAAAATGAACTTCATGATAGAAAAGAAAATAAAAGATTTTGGCATCAAAAATTCACAGTTTGAACTGTCTTCCTTAATTTATTTCTCCTTTCATTTATGGAATATTTTTGTTGCTTAAGATAAGATTCATTTTCTTTCAATAGTGGTATATAAATAAAGAATCTTTGTAGTAAAAAAAAAAAAAGACAATTTCTGATGAGGAACTAGGAAGAAAGAAAAGAACCCAATGCCATAACATAGGTTTTAGGGACTGAAAATCTGCTTTTACAAGTAGGACAAATACTGCCCTGGATTATTAAGTAAGCTTGTTCCTCTTTATCAGAAGAGAGTCCATCGCCACAGCTATTCTTTCTTCCATAGATTTCAAAGTTGTGCCCTAAATGAAGTTTTATTAGTAGTACTGTTGCCTGTTGCCTCCTATAATTATAGTTGCTCAACGTATGCCATGTTCTTCCTAATGTCTGAGGGGTGGCCATTAAGTGCCTAGGATGTTGTACTTTTTACAAAGTCCACCTCATCACTGCCCCCCAATGTACAATTTGATCTTTTCCCAGTATCCACCTCCACTATAATATCTGCCACAGTCTTTTCCAATGAAGCCTCCTTTGGTGGGCCAGCGGTAGTGTATCTCCAAGAGCTAGAAAGGCCTCGTAAGCTAGCAGGGCCAAAATGCCACAAGACAAATGGATAGTTGCTTTCATGGTGCTCCACTGAATTTTCTTGAAATCCTGCTGTGGTGAGAGGGAGCATTTTTCAAGAAGCTTAGGCTTCTGATCTCATTGAGGTGAAGTTTAACACAGAAGGCTTCTTTCTGGAATGCAATGCCCTGAAATAGTCTATGAGTGACCTCAATCTCGACTTTTCCAGAGTTTGAGAAGAAAAAAACAAATCAAGCCCAAATTTTTTAAAAATTTTAATTTAATTGTTTCTTTTTGGTTTTTTGAGTCTCACTATGTAGCCCAGGCTGGCCTTGAACTCACGTGATCCTCCTGCCTCAGTCTCCCAAGTCCTGCTATTACAGGTATGTACCACAAAGCCTGGCTAGTCCAACTTTCTAATAATCAACTTTCTACAGCTGATTTTCTGTGCTCTATATTAATTTCTGCCTGAAGAATTATTATGTTTACACATCTTCTTGGATTATGTTTCTCTCTCAAGATTGTCATAACTTGGCTTCTATAATAATTTGTATTTGACACTTAAACTCATGGGTAAGGAAATTTGGGGGATGTGAAAGAAGGAAACCTGAAAAGGAAGAAATATCTATTCAAGGTGGAATAATCTTTTATACCTCACCAAAGCAACTGATGGTCATATCCATGGGACATTCAGAGCTTCACTAAGAGATGATGTCACATCCCTTTATCCTGGAAATGAAAACCTTTATCTGAGGTTTGTCTCATTCCCTTCAGTGCCAGCATTGGCCAAGTCTACCCATGTGTGTTTCCTTTCGCATCCCTCCATGTTGTACACACATAAAAACAGTGTTTTCCATGAATATCATGTGTTGTAGTTTCATAGGAGCTTTGGATCAGAAAGGGAGGGATATGCAGCATGGTCCTATAGACCAACTTTGTCAAGAGGCTGTTCTTCCAAGCCTAGATGGATAGTGTTATATGACTACACCTGATTAAGCCATGAGGCAGAGAGAATAGTAGGAATGTTTATAAGGTATCAAGGTATCCAGTAGGTTCAACAAAGGTCATGACTAGATTAAGAAAATTAGTAGTAACCGCTCATGATAAGGACATCAGTGTGAAGGTCAGAGGCATGTGAGGAGGTGTCAGTTTCAAACAGCAGCTGTGTGGCTTACCAAAACAAGATGGCTCATCCTGAACTGCTGGTGAAGAAATTGGGCTCTCAGTATAGTAGAAAGATCCTTTATATACAAACTAGTTAGTGTGCTTAGAACAACAGAAAATAAAAGAAGAAAATCCAAAAGCTAGACTAAGAAAAATCTTGACTGGGGGAAAGAAGGCAGAAGTCAAGTACATGCATCAGCTCAAAATGTAAAGAGAATATTAAATATGAGATCCCTTTGCACCAAGGGATTTGGTTGCATATGAAGATGCAACCTCCGAGCTGAGGCTCAGGTCAGCCATGTCCTCGTTCTGGTGCAAGGACATAGAAGCAGGAAGCAGGTGGCCTTAGATCTGAGAATCCCATCGTGTGGACACCGTGGTGTTCCTGAAACTCCTTTTCAGGGTTGTAGGAAGGGATTTTGAGTAAGGAGAGTTTTACACCCAAGCCTAGAGGAATGCAATTGACACAAGATTCCTTGAATGCAGGTACGGTGCCAGAAATGACCTTGACCTAAAAGAAGGTGACCATTTGGACTCTAACAGAGAAAGAAATGGGTGGGCAAAGCAGCAGAGGCATCTATCTCTTGTTGATTCCTTACTACTCTTCTATCTTAAATCATGAGGCTTGTCACAATGAAGTGTATCCTGCATGAGAAACTAGGTTGGGCCAATGAGATAGCTCAGTGGACTAAGTGCCTGCTTTAAAAAATTCAGGGGCCAGGGTTTGATCCCCAGTCACACATGTCTCGCTGAGTCTGTGTGTGGTGGCGCATGCCTGTAATCCCAGTGCTGGGGAGTCTGAAAACAGGAGGATCACTACAATTCCAAGATGCATAGTGAGACCCTATACTAAATAAATAAAAAACAAACAAATGAGCAAAAAAAGAAACTATGTCATTCTCAAAGCAGCATCTGGTATCTTACAAATACCATCCATCCATCCATCCACTCATTCACTTATTCTAAAACTGTTAGTTCTCCAACATGTCAGGCTCTACTTGGAAATGGAAAGAAAAACAATGGTTTGGGGGACACGGTGAGGGAGGTCTCTGGTAATGACTGGTTGGTTGTGAGCTCAGGCACTCGTGGGAGATGACACAGCTGTGGACCTGTCAGGTGCTCCAAGCATTTAGCTAAAAAAAAGTAAGGAGGGAGGGACTTGGACTTGCTGTTGGAGGATAAGGTCTGACGTAATTGTCATAAGGTGACATAATTGTCAGTAAGTGCCAAAAAGATGGTCATGCTGATAATTTCATCATAAAAAGCTGAGTTAACAGGTGGATTCAGGGGTGAATCATATCTGACAGGGAAGGAGTAGACACGGCAGCTGTGGAAGTCCCATTTCCTTAAGGCAGGGCTTGTCCCCTACATAAAAAGCCAGTTGACCGAAGGAACCACATCAGACCCAAGTGATCTGACCATCTGCCTTGTTTGTGCACCAGGTAAGTCTCTTTATCTGGAACTTTTTAACCATTCACTCTAGGCATTTAATTTTTATTGGCACCTTGTAGACATTTTGACGTTTCTCCGCAATACTGAAATTTGGCTGTAGTAATATAGACTGTTTATCTGAATTGTGCTCTAGAAATGCCTTTGCTTTGACAGTAATTGTTTTTTGAGCTTAAAGAGACTTCAGACATGCTTGGTTCTTCCCAACCTTGCCTGCTGTGGTAGTGAGAAGAGAGTGGGCTGCTGAAGGACCTAGAGTTCAGTTTGAAACTGGGCGAGACTGCCAGCCCAGATCTAGAGGGCTTTTGCTACTCTTACCTATGTTGTAATTTTAATACAACATTATTCTTTCAGCAAATATTTTAGTGACACCTTATTTCATGTGGCCATTGCTAAAGAATAATTTTGGCTACAGAAAATTTACTCCATGAAGCTAGACTATATTTAGGAGAAAAAGAGTTAAACTACAATGAAGTGAATGATCAGTGTCAGGTAACAAGGGTGAGTGCGGTGCTGTCACAGGGAGGCAGGAGGCTTCTGGAAGGCTTACTCTAGAAGGCCTGCTCCCAACGTGCTATGTGAAGTGATCTGAAGCGGCTGGGCAACATTCAGAGGGGCACTTGAGGCAGAGGAGCCAGGCCCCAGGCATGATCCCGTGGGGTCATACAGTGGCCAGTTATCCTTTGCATGGTATCAGAAATGAATGTGTAGGTTGAGGTTTGTTTTTGTTTTTATCAAGTAGCATCATAGTTCCATGTGATCCAGGGCTGTGAGCATCGTTTTGTGCTGTGCTCCTAGTGGGTTAGGCTGTGCACACTAAAAGTGAATGCAAGGGAAAGCCCTGCTTCTGTGGAGTAGAACAGATCACATTTAGGTTCTATCTCTTCAGAGACTCGAAATCATGAAAGCATTCTTTAGGGTAGAAAAGGATAAATGACCCATGCTTTTCCACAGACCTGAAGTGACATGAAGCATGTCTTCTTTCTGAATGGCTCCCTGTTTAAATCATCTCTTCTCTGCCTAGGCCCAACCACTGTGGAAGCATGAGTTCCCACCAGCAGAAGCAGCCCTGCACCCTCCCAGCTCAGCTCCAGCAGCACCAGGTGAAGCAGCCTTGCCAGCCTCCACCCCAGGAGCCATGTGTCCCCAAAACCAAGGAGCCCTGCCACACCAAGGTGCCTGAGCCCTGTCAACCGCAGCCTGAGCCCTGCCAACCTCAGCCTGAGCCCTGCCAACCCCAGCCTGAGCCTTGCCACACCAAAGTACCTGAACCCTGCCAACCTCAGGTGCCTGAGCCTTGCCAATCTAAGATGCCTGAGCCCTGCCAACCTCAGGTGCCTGAGCCCTGCCAACCGCAGGTGCCTGAGCCCTGCCAGTCTAAGATGCCTGTGCCCTGCCCTCCTAAGATGCCTGAGCCCTGCCAGCCCCAGGTGCCTGAGCCCTGCCAACCCCAGCCTGAGCCTTGCCATCCTAAGGTGCCAGAGCCCTGCCAGTCTAAGATGCCAGAGCCCTGCCATCCTAAGGCTCCAGAGCCCTGCCAGTCTAAGATGCCAGAGCCCTGCCACCCCAAAGTGCCTGAGCCCTGCCAGCCCAGCGTTCCAGAGCCCTGCCAGCCTAAGATGCCTGTGCCCTGCCATCCTAAGGCTCCAGAGCCCTGCCAACCTAAGATGCCTGAGCCCTGCCATCCTAAGGCTCCAGAGCCCTGCCAACCTAAGATGCCTGAGCCCTGCCATCCTAAGGCTCCAGAGCCCTGCCCCTCAACTATCACCCCAGCACCAGCTCAGCAGAAGACAGCCCAGAAGTAACGTGCTCTACGGCAAGGTCCTTGAGGAACGGATCACTGGATACAGAATCCCCTTTCCCATTCTGCTTATAGATCCCAGTCACTTTGTAACAGCACGCTGTCACCTTAAGTGACAGCCCCTCTCTCATCTGTATCCTAAAAATATGAAGTTTTCTTTTCTGTACACTTGGGGCCTCGGAGCCTCTGAGGAACTTAGTACGTGAACTAGTTCTCAGCTGCTCAAAACTTGGCTGAAGAGGGATTTAAAGTGAAAATAAGTGATTCGGTTTTGTTTTGCTCCATTAAATGCATTTTGATTCCATTCTTGAGTGTGTGTGTACTCAGTTCCTTCATTCTATTTCCTCATGAAGCAGGAACTATTCAGAAAGCATCTGACCCTGGAACTGGGCTGGAGGAGTTCTCCAGAGAAGCGCTCCTGGGCTGACAGAAGGTTGAGCAATGCTGCCCCACAGTGTTGCTTTGGGCATGCACACCTGGAGCAGGGCTATCCTACATACTCAGGGAGCCCACTAGGGTTTTAGTTAATACCTGTCCAAGCTGACTCCAACTTGCCCTTCTCCTGCATCTGGCTTCCAGCTTGGATTACTCAACAGAGTGCTACTTATTTTAATGGCTGTTGTCCCTACTTATGTGAATGTGTTCTTCCCGATTTGATTCTTCCAAGTGCCTGCAATACAGATTGCCCAGATTTCCACGCATACTGGAAAACTCAGCCGCCACAGCACTACCAGCAGCTTTCCAATCTCTGAGTGTCAAATCTGAACCAGAAAAGAGATGATTCACAGTGCTTATGAGAGGTGGTTCCCCATCCTACAGCGTGCACCTTGCTCCCCATCTGTGCCATGGTGAACCTCACGTACAAACTCCGCCCAACGGACTGCGAGTCCTCACAGTGGCACACAGCAGCCATCAACCAGCTAAGGGGAATGAAGACGTTTAGGCTCACCCTCATCTGGAGTATAAAAACCATTAGTTTGAAAGAAATAGACATCAATACCACATACATACATACATATATGCTGCATTTATAGAAAAATCTATTACTTTTTAAACTCTTAACACATTTAACTGATGCATAGTTGTATATAGAGATGGAGCACAGTATGATAAACCTAAGTACATATACTATATGCAATACACAAATGAAGGTAATTGGAATTTTCATCTTATAATCATTTCTTCATAGCTTTGGGTTTCAAACTCTCCTACTTCTTCATAAAATATACAATATTCTAATTTAACTACAGTATTCCCACTGTGCTGTAAAACACTGTAGCTTATTCCTCCTATTTTATTACTTGGAGACAAAGTCAATTGTCTTGCAGGAGAATAAAAAGAGTCATAATTTCCATCTCTTGGTTGTAAAATGAACTAATGAAAAAGCCTACTAAAGTTTGGTGTAACTCCAAACACTTGGACACTTTTGATCATGGTGTTTTCCTCCTTCTTTCAAAATATTAGCCTGCTTGAAAAATGTTTATGTGAAAGTGATGTCACCTTGAATGGCTTCACGCTTAAGCAGTGTTTAAGACTTACAGTCATATCCAAGGGAATGCCGCTCAGCACCACAACCAAGTAATCAAAATGAAAACACAAGCTAAAAGAAACAAACAGAAAGGTTGTGCTCTAATTATGCTATGTTAATAGTCCTCCAAGACTAGCTAAAATAGCACATGTCCTTTTAACTGAGCCCAGGGGCAATGGACTGTATTTCCTCCTCATTCCCATGTGGATTGCTCCATGTAGTTCCTTCCCTCATGAGCTCAGCCTCTTAAAGAACTTGTCCTCCACTGAATGAGAGCAGGAAAGTGTTCTGAATATGGATACCTGATATAGGGTATCACTTGTAACCAGGAAAGATATACACCCCCACTGTTCTGCCTCTGCCTGGGTAGAACTTAGGTACAAGGCCCTATTGCCCTTACAAGGACCAGCAGTGAAGACTGTGACCGACCATGAAGGGCACACCAAAATCTATGTTTACAGTTGTGTCCAGAATAAAACATAGATTTTGGTGCGCCCTTCATGGTTGGCCACAGTCTGCACTGCTGGTCCTCAAACACCACTCCTCTTGTGTCATAGGTAGAACACAACTCCCTCAGGGAGAGTCTCCTGTCCAGATCAAAATCTAGGGTCTCTGAGAGACATAGAATTTTCCACACCATGTCTTTATACAAAGACATAGTCCAATGTCAATGAAAGATATGCACAAATTACTTCTTCCTGCTTTTCAGCATGCACTGGTGGGGCACACTCAGAGAATTAGGTAGAAATTAATTCATACCAAGGGAAGTAATACATCACAATAAGTAGTTGCTGGGCTTCAACATTCTGAAATTCACTCAGAAAAACACTGTGAAGCCACATACACACAGCCACCACCCTGAAGCCAGGATCCCCAGTAGCATCTCTTTGTTAAAGTCTTGAGTCTGCTCCCTGTAAGTGGTTACTACAATGTCCACAGGACTGGAGATTGTCCCTCATGTCCCAAGCAAGTGTGGTTTCAAGGCTCTCAGATACATGTTTTGTTCCTTTGACATCTAACCTGTGAGTCAGGTAGGGAATGTAATTTTCAGAAGTTTAATAGCCTCCTAATGTACTTCCAACCAGTTCTGTACACCAGTAACTAAACCAAATTTCTTTCTCAGAAAAGAAATCCTCTTGGGCTTATCTTATTTATCTTTTCTAACATAAGAATACTAGAGGTAATAAATAAATTCAGAAAGGTAACATGATATAGTATCAACATACAAAAATTAATAAAGCTCTTGTACACTAATACTGAACACACAGAGAAAAAAAGTTAGAGAAAAACCTCATTCACAATTATACCAAAATAATTACATACTTAGAAATTAAAGTCACAAGGAAAATGAAAGCACACTTTAAAGAAAACTATAGTACTCTGAAAAAGGAGATTAAAGAAAACATCAAAAAAATACAATGAAGACTGGGTGTGGTGGCCCTCACCTGTAATCCCAGGGCTTGGGAGGCTGAAAACTGAAGGATCACTATCAGTCTGATCTATGCAGTGAGACCCTAGAGGCCCTGTACAAAATACAAAAAAAAAAAAAAAAAGTATGATGTCCCCTTTTCCTGAAAAGGTAGAACCAATATTGTTTAAAAGGCCATATGACCAAAATTGATATAGGTTTAATACAATTCCTTTCAGGTCATGTTTTGCCCCACCAATGAAGGGGTGCAGAACTGTCTTCCAAAGGTGCACTCTTTTGCTTTCATCAGCTGAACGCTCTCTGAGCCTAGTGAGGTGGTGAAGTCCATCAGGATCCCACACATCTCCTAGTGCTGAAGATTGTTCAGGGAGGCAGGCACGTCAGATGACTTGCACAACAGTGCCACCACTAAGCCACTGCTTAATTCCAATCTTCCACTGGCTCTGTTGTCCAGAAACATTTCTTTAAGAGTCAGAAAGTCTGCCAACATGAGCAGCACGTGAAAGATGTCACTAGTTACGTCCTTTTTATGGTTCTATAACTTTTTGATGAAAGCAGATTCAATCCTGGGGTCTGCTCTAGTAGCAGTTCCTCAGTATACTTTTCCTCTACAGAAATACACTGAATAACAATGGGTGTAATACAATGAGTTTACCTTCCTGTGTCTTCAAACTCCTAGTAGTGCTTGTTCATGGAATTTCCCTGCTGAAACCCATCTTCTGTATTATTGTCTTCTAAATACTCAGCCATGACATCAAATCTGCGTCAGAGGCAGAGGAGGACAACACTAAGTTCTACTCCTCCAGCTCGGCTATGCCACAGAGCTGCCCCTCCCTTCAGAGTCCGCATTTAAGATTGTCAGGCTGCCACCTGCCACCTGCCAATGTCTGCACCATTTCATATCTTAAATACCATTTTTCAATGTCTTCAGTCATTACAAAGATAATCAAGTTTGCATTGGTTCTAGGTTTTTAGAATCAAATTCAATTTTAGCTTAATTCTGTAGCCAAATAATTAGTCTAGGCAGATTGAGTAAACAACTAAAGTTCTAGATTCTTAATGGAAAATTCTGAATGTGGTGATTCATCTCCCTCTTTATTCAGTCTAGAAAATAATTTTTTTCACATCATGGTGAGATGTATATAAGGTAATTTTGAAACAATATGTTTCTGTATTCAGAAGCATTAAGTGTATGCAAATGCCATGCGACATTTAACACTGCCTATTTCTAGAAATTTTAAGACTGTGCCTCTGCTCCTACTGAAGAATTTCCGAAGCTTCCCTATCCCCAGCCACTGATCGCCTGCACTCTACTTTGGGGTCTATGAACTTCACGATTCTAGTGACCTTGTCGAGTAGAACCATGCAGTGTTTGTCTTTTGGTGTCTCACTTACTTTGTTGACTGTAAGGTTTTCAAACTTCACCCATGCTGTGTCATGCATCAGCACTTCATTCTTTATAGTTGAATAATATTCCACATTACTGTATGTATTCATGGAATACTGCATGATATTTCATTACAGTCCATGTATATAATGTTCAAATCAGGGTAAGCCTATCTATCACCCAAGTAACAGAGCCTTCATCATTTCTTTATGTTAAAAGCAGTCAAAATCCTTTCTTCTCAGCCTTTTGAAATGTAACATATTATTGTTATTTACACTTTAATAGACTATTAAAACATTTTTAACCTGTAACATAATGCACAGTGAATATCCTCTCCCCATTCTGCTTTCCCTATAGCTCTACCAAGCATATGGTGACCACCATACATATGACTGTCAACTTTTAAGAGCTCAATATTTTATATTCCAGGGGCAGAATATAGCTCAGCATCTTAAGTACCTATCTGGAAAGTGCAAGGTCCTGAATTTCATCCCTGGTACAAAAAAATTATATTCCAGTTTTATTTTTTTCCATAATTTTATTGAGAGACAAATAGCAATGAGACAGTTTCAAATCAAATAGGTAGGACAGTTCCAATAATCAACACATTGCATACTGTCTTCCTAGGGGTTATTTGCTGTACAAGATGTAGACACGATA